CCTATAAAAAAGAAACGTATTACTTTATTTTATTCTTAATGATATTCAACAATTAAAGTTCTATTTACACTGTTAATGGAAAATTGTTAACAGACAAGCTAGAAAAAATATTAAATTTTTCTTTAAATAGGTTTATATCAAAAGAGTTAAGTAAAAGAAATATGCAAGAGTTAAGTAAAATAAATAATGCCCAAAAAACTTATTCAGAAAAGTCAAGCGAAATAAATAATATCCAAGAAACTTATTCTGAAGAGAATAATGAAGATGCATTATTTGATTATCAACAAGGAATTGAGCAACTTTTTAGTTTTCCATTAGAATATAATATTTTTGGCTTAGACATATCAAATCAACATCCATTAACAGGCTTTGATGGATGGCAGTTAACAGAAAAATTAGAAAATCCTTCTTAACTAATTTATGAGGAACAGTCAACAGAAGAATTAGAGAATCCTTTTGAACTGATCTATGGTGGAAGGTCAACAGTAGATCATTCTTTGCTAGTGGGAATGCATTCTACAGAAAATATAGAAAGTCCTCTTACACTAATTAATGGTGGACAGTCTTCAGAAAAGCTAGCTAATTTAGATTTTGAATCATTAATGAGCCTTATAACATAAGATAGACAAATTAAAAACAGCAGGCTGTGATATAAAACTCAATTTGCTAACCACAATCAATTTTAATAGCTTTTTTTTATTTTTTTCTATCACTTTTAAATAGTTATTTTATTATTTCTTTCATCATTCTTATTGTGCTTTTTATCGATTTTGGCACCTTTTTACTTCACTAATAACAATGTAAGATCTCTTAAGAAAGAACTTGCTAGTGCTAAAATCGAAATGGATGTTCAAAATGATCTCATAGCAGATCTTAAAACCAAGCTATTAGAGGCCGAGAAGGAATGTGATAAATTAATTTAAACTTTATTATAAATTTTTTTTTGTTCTGTAGACTGTCTAACCATATAACTTATTTCAGCATCCATTGATGCTGCATGACATGTATTCGATAACTCCTAAATTCAAATAGTAAAAAAATAAGAAAGGGAGAAATAGAATTCGTGCTAATCTCTTAATATACAAGTATAATCAAATGTATAATTCTTATTTATTTTTTGACAGTATAATAAACAATATATAAGCTTATTTTGTTATGGTTATGTTGAAAAGATTTTTAATCAAAAAGATGTAGTTTATTTTAAAACTACATAAATTATTCCTTGGAATTTGTCAGGCGACTATGATTTAAAAAATAACATACCCTAATAATATACAAACAAGTATAAACTCCGAAAGCAAGAATTCTGAAAGTCATGTTATTTTAAAAAAAAAGTCTATTAAATTGGTAAAGTTTAATTATTCTTGTTTAAAGTTTGTAACCATTATTATAAAAA